ACACTACACTACACTAGACTACACTACACTACACTACACGAATTTCACTACACTACACTACACTAAAACTACATCGACAGCGGCAGCTACACAACAACTACAGCTGCAACTGCAGTACACTACATTACGCAACACAGCACAACACTACACTACGCTAAAACTACAGCGGCAACTGCAACTATACAACTACAACTGCAACTGCGTTACGCTACATTACACTACACTACACTAATTACACTACACGATGCTAATTACACTCCAACTACAACTACAGCTACAGCTACAACTACAACTACAAGTACGCTACATTACACTACCCTACACTACACTACACTAAAACGACAACGACAACTAAAATTACAACTGCAACTGCGCTGCATTTCGCAAGACAGCACAACACAACACTTCACGACACCACATTAAAACTGCAACTACAACTACAGCTACACTTGCACTACACCACGCTACATCCAGCAGTTGTGGGTGAGGTGACCACTGTGGCCATTGCAGCCACCCCAAAAAAGACAGCTCCAACCACTTTTCAGTCCATCAGTGGCTTCGCCCTGCCATCCATGCATCACAACAACCAACCTCTCCTACAGTGCCCTATCTTTCAAACTTCCGCCACCGCCTTGTGCGGTACTACTGGTGCACACCCCTATGTACAGCTGCCTCCAAAAAGATAGAAGTTAAATCCACCCCACTAAGATAATGCGAAGTTACTTTTTGTTTAAACATAGTTTTTGGGGCGGCTTAGAAAATAAATCGATATTCTATATGTATACTTTCCAGTTATCACCAGTAATTAGATAAAATAGCCAATGAGTATTTCAATCTGAAATAGCAATCTTTATCTTTTTCGGATACAATTTGACCTGTATCAAGTTCACTGTTGGCCGAGGCGCTGGTTGCTGCTGCTTGACGCTGCCGCGTCGTCCGATGCGCTTTATTGATGTATGCCAAGCATCTTCAAAAAAAGGGGAGACCCTTCACTATTCCAGTCCGCGACGAGCACCGCCCCCTCCCCAATGAAGTGAACGCTACGGGCAGGGAAATTGTGCAGGTTGGGGGACGGCTTTTCGAAATTGAGTACAGGTATGATAGCTGGGGATGCGGGTTAAACGCCCGGCCTACTTGAGCCCAACCCGAACCAGCGCCAAACTTGGCCATACATGGTCTTAAGTTGAGCCAACATGCGCCGACTTGGGCCCAGCTCGCGCCAAACTTCGGCCCAACTTGGACCGCTTGGCTCCAAACTGGGGCCGAACTTGGGTCCAACTGGGGGGTTTGGGCGCAAGTTGCGTCTGCGCTTTATGCACATGTGATCCAAGTCAGGTCCAACATGGCGCAGCTTGGGCCAATTTAGCGGCAGCTTCGGCACAAGTTGGGCCCAAACACTGCCCAACACGGAGCCTCCATCGAGCCCAACAAAAAAACGGGAAATGCCAGTGAAAACGCATGTTTTTGGCATTCCGCGTTGGTCTGCCATGTCACCCCTTTGAGTTTGCGTCCCAACTTGGGCCGAAGTTGCTCACAAACGCGTCCAACTTAAGTTGCGCCATGTTGGGCCCAACTTGGCTCCAGTTAGAGCCAAGTGGGTCCTGATGACGCGAACCGATTTTGCGACGATATGAGAAATGCAAATAGTTATATGGCCCACGGCCGATTTCGAAACTTTTCCCCCCAGCTGAAGCTAACACGCCCCCGCTCCTCCGGCGCGGGCGGATTTTTTTTGCGTGGATATGGAAAACCCAACATTTTTACATCATTCTCAAAGGAAAACCGCCCACGGTACAGGCCAAGTTTCTGGGTACCAAAGGACCCTGACATGGCTTTATTTTCTTTAGCGATTGAACCCATGCAGTTTGGGGGTTGATAATGAAGTCACCACATCATCAAAGCATTGGACGTGACGTCGGCGGCGACTGGCCTTGGTCGATCCAAAGCCATGCATTATCCATCTTATTTTCCTGCAAGATGTGATGGGTCGGAAAATGTAACCCCCAAGGGGGTTACAGCTGGCAAATAGAATTGCAATACCCAGTTTTTTGATTTAAACGTAAACAACACCTCAGCACAGATAGCGCAGCTATCTCTGCTATCCATGGTACCCTTTATAGAAGCAACGCGCTGAACGACCCATCCAATGAGCAAAGCAGGACTGGAAGGGCTTCTGCGCTTCCACTGATTAAGAAGGCATTGTTTCGCAACCGCCTGTTGATTCGGAGAACCGCCAGGAAAAGTGGTGCCACCAGTGTGTTTTCTCGGAGATTGACATGCCAAACATGATTGTATCAAGGGCTGATCAAGCATCACCAGGTCTTATCATGCATCCAACGGGGGCATCCTGTGCACAACCGGCAATCCGCTGTCATGACTTTGAACCAGAATGGTGGAGCCGTCTTGAAACATAGCGCGCAACATCTAGCCATCAAAGAATGGGATACAATGTGAATAAAACCATATCACTTATGAATACTTATGATTGATTGAAAAATCAATTGAGAAACCAACCAAGGACAGATGTCGACAGAAAACCCACCACCCCCCTGATCCAATGATAGGATGGCGTGGTGCTTCGCTATCGAATGCTGCATGGCTATCAAAATCAAGCTGGGGGCACCCCAGGTTCTGGCGATTTGAACCATCAAAAATACCTGATGGGTTAACAGAGGGTTTATTCTAGTTGGTTTCTTGGAGATTATTATAACACATTATAACCCATAGTCGGAATATTGCAAACAAATTGGTATGGGATGGGATTCTCGGATTTAAAGCTCCACGACTTTGTGCTTCAGCACGCGCAAGGGATCACGATGGTTCCAAGTTCCGATATCGAATGATCGGAACTCGAGTGAATTCTGGCGATGGTTTTTATCCCAAAGAACTTGTGCCCCAGCGAGAGGGTAGTGACTTTTGTGTCCCAACTGGCAGTCAATGGATTTTTTTGGGATGAACATCTGCAACAACCAGCGATTTTGGTTTGAAAACCAATAGCATTTATCGACTCCAACGCGTGATTATCGATGGTCAGGAACCAAGGGAATAGCCCCACAAAATATGGCCTTACATGGTACAGTACCTCCATTTTAGGATTCTGAAATTACCATTGAGATTACCAAGATGGCCAAGATATCGTTCACTTGCAACCAAGACTGCGAGGATATTAATATTGACCGAATGATATATGGAATGTGGCAATGATGGTTTTGTCAATTTTCTTCCCATCTCCTCTACCCAACCTGACGTAGACCCTGAAAACCTCTCATTTCAAGGTTGGAAAAGTAATCTTCCCCCAACTCATGGCAGCGTTGATTTGTTGGATGGTAATACTCCCTATCTAGATCTATTATGATCTATTTGCCAAGATCTATGCTAGTTGGAGTTTTCTTTTCCTCATGGAGTTTTTCCAGGTATGCTGGGATCACCAGTCCATACCTCAATCGTGGCGGGCTTCAAAGGAAGTCATTGTCCTCAGTCGTGGAAAATGGCTCGGGACAAATGATTTGAAGCGGAAAACCATTTGGGGCTTTCCATAAATGGGGCACCCAATAGCTGGATTATAAGGGAAAATCCCAAACAAAAATGGATGATTTGGGGGTAGCCGTATTTTAGGAACCGCCCATCAATGGATGTACTGAGATCGTTTCTAGTAGCCATCTTTGATATTACCAGAGGTCCACGCACCGATGCCCCAGATGCAGCCCATGGTATCCCTGAAAGATGAACCGGGTAAATGGGTTCAACCCGACCCTGTCACTGTGTACATGAGATGTTTTCTTCTATCAAGACACCATTAGTACTGCCTAACCGAGGAACAGTGAAGTTTTTATGAATTTTTGACAGATCCTTTTAGATGCTGTAACATAGTAGATTCTATATAGTAGCCACCAAAAAGATCAACCCGCAATTTATCACTGGGCTAATTCCCCGGCGGGTGGAACATCTTTGCTCCTCCCCACGAGATGGCGCAGATCTACCAGCTTGACACCTTGTTGTGTCCCCGTAAATCCACTGGTTGATACAATTTTCCGAGTTAAAAAGCCATTTAGATCCATTTTGTGGTACCCCCATTTTAGGAAACCTCCGACTTCTGTATTAACCAACCAGAGTTTAAACTGAGGTTCGAGGCGCGTGGGGAGCGTATCTCAGCAGAAGAACGCAGTGAAGCCCGGAAGAAAGAGGCCATCGGTGAACGAACCGCTGGCGAAAGCTGAGATGATATTTGGTTATAAACATACATACTTCATCATACTTCAATATGATTTGTCTTGATCTAAATCTATCCATATATTAATAATTATTAATAAATCAAAAGATCTAGACTGATCTAGATATACTTTTTTTTTTCCATAGAACAGCCAGAAATCTCGGACATTATTGATGGCCTGTAGGGGTACCATGACGAATCAACCATTAACCAACCAGGACTTGCTCTTGGCGTCACCAGGAACGCTGGGGTGCCATGGAGCTTCACAAGTCAGGGTCCAAGAAATCCGGTGGTGAACAAAATGGCATTTCACCGGATGCACCCAGCTTTTTAAGCCGGATTTCCGGATTTCACCAAAAGAAGCACCGGCAATTTAGAAACTTACCCGATTTCTAGGGCCCACATGTTTAGATTCTGTTGATGTCCCCAAAATTCAAGGAGAGAACATGCATTTGGGGAACACGTCTCCTTTTTTTTGGTGACACCCAACAGTAAATTCATGTAATTTCACATAGGAAATATAATCTGGTGTTGATCGATAATTGCCGGGAAAACAGTGGACCAGTGGCTGTTTGAATTGGACACTCCCTGTGGGGATTCAACTACTTCACATGTCCACGTGGGTAGATGGTGGGGTAGTAGCACTAAGTTCCCAAGAAGTGGTCCTTTCAGTCCCTGCAGCGGCAGCCTCTCGATATGGCTAGGCAATATCACCCTGGGCTGGCTAAGCTGGCTTTTCCCTTCTGAACCACAGACTGAGCGTCATGAGCACAAATGCGTGCACATCGACCTAAGTGTTCTTTAACACTTTCATGCCCCCGGGTTCCTCCAGTTTCCACGGTACTTTGGGGTCACCAGACACACACTCGTCAGCATGTATGTTTTGTGCGCGTTGTGTTGTTTCTGTGTGTCCTTCAAAGGTCTCCATCCCTTCGCTCCTTCTCTTCCGGGCTGATCTCATCTTAGGATCGTTCACGATCCGCCAGGTTCCACCCATTTGATAAAACATTTCAAGTTCCTTAGCTCCACTCTTTGTAAGAGCGTTCCCAAGTTGGGCCTCAGAGTGAACCCACCGTACCCGAACAACGTTGTTTCTTTGAGCTGACTTTAAGGAAAGGAGTTCGAGATCTACCCTACGCTCTTGACCCTTGATAGACAACTCTTCCGTCTGAAGTTTGTCGAAAACATTTCTTGAATCAGATATCACACAACCAGGTATCCGATTAACCGTACTGTCAACATCAAAAACATTTGTTTCCGCTTCAAGGTATTCTCCAAATTGGTACCTAGCATGAAACAGATAGTCCTCTCCTGATACTACTGCTCTCGCCTCTGCGGCTCCCGGGCTTCTGGAAACCCTCTCTATCTTACTTGAGTGCCAAGCTACCGGAGTTACTTTTTCCACATACCCTTCATACAAACGTTCAGGGGCTATTCCCACAAAAATCCCTTGGGTGCTGCTTCCGTCCCTCCGGTTTTGACAAGCAGCATCAGCCCAAACATACATTCCCAGTTTTTCATTGGGGTGAAAGGCATGAACGATCATCTTATGTTCTTTTCTTTGCTTAGCCTCATACAGGAGTTTGTTGGCCCTGACTATTGTCTCAACATTGCTATCGGTAACTTCAGAGAGCAACAACCCTACTGATGCAGACAGGTGCGGTGCACATTGTTGGCTGTACCAACTCAAAGCTCCCAAAAGACCTCTGAGCTGGGTCTTTTCTCTGTCAGTGGTTGTTTCTTTGGTTTGTTTTCTCCTACCCGCACTCAAACAGATTTCGCTGACCTTGGTGAGGTATTGTTGTTGGCTCAGGTGAAATGAACCATCCTTTTGTCTTTCAATTTTTACCCCACACTGGACAAAATTGTTCTCTTCCCATTCTCCCCACTTGAATCTTTGTTGGATCCTTTTCTCCAAGGCACACCATTCCGGGTCTTTGGGGTCCCCAGTAAACATGAAATCGTCCACATGTCCCGCAACCAACCCTTTCAACTTACCATTCACCTTGAACATCCAACAACAGGGGTCCGACCAAGATTTAGTAAGCCCTTCTTCTTCTTCTAAATAAGAGGAAATAGTCATGTACCATTCAAGGGGGGCATCCACCAATCCATAACAACCCCGTTTGACTTTGACAATTTCTTCCGGGCCTAATCCCATAGCTTCGAGGATTTCGGGGCAAGGAACACAATACAATTCATTGGGATATTCCCTCCCCTGAAGGAAGGCCCCACTCACATCTCCCTTTTTCACACCCCATTGTCGCCAAGATGCCACCTGCAAAAGAAGCTGTCTTGTTTGGCGTGTCATGACCGGTGTTGTTGTGGCTCGAAACTCATACATGGGATCTTGGTAACCCTTTAAAATGGCCCTGGCCTTAGCCTTATATCCCCCATCATCAGTTCTTTTCAAATCCACCGCATCCCAATGGTTTGGTCTCTTGAGGGTCTCAACTCGGGGGGTATAGCTTCAAACGCTTGGGCAGCAAGGTAGTTAGTGACCTCTTTGTGTTTGGCTTCCCGAAACTCCTCCCTTTCTTTCGGGGTCAATCTCTTTTCACTAACCTCAACAGCCCTGCGTTTCAACTGGTTCACAAAATACCCCCCCAAATCTTCCGCCATCCGACTCATCCCTCTTTTGGTTTCCGGGACGGGAATTTCAATTTGGACAGAGGCTTCGGGGTTCTCCCAAAAATGTTCCCCTTTACTTTCGTGGTACACATCATCAGGGACCTGAATCCACCAGGCTTCTTCGAGGTGTTCTCCCATTAAACCCTTGTTAGGTCCACTGGTTCTGAGGTGTTTGGGTTCTCCCCTACTTCCACTGCTAAAAGGGTCACCAGTTCCTCCATCTCTTGTTGGGTCGACTGGTCGTTTGCCCCAATGTCTCACCTTGGGATTTTGTCGCACTAAGTTCTGCTGGTCTCTCTGCCAAGTTGCCAAGTCCGGGATCTCCCCCGTGATGTCATCCATTTCATTTCCACCCAAGGCACTTGCCACCCGTGTGAAATTCCAGGGGGCTTTGTTTTCTTCAGGGTTCCCCAAAAATTCAAGGAGTTCCTCCCTCTCTGAGGCAGGTCTCAACTGTTCTGGACAGCACTTGATTAGGCGCCTTCCCCTAACCAACCAAATCGAACTACTTTCTTTGAGGTTCCCATAGCCATCCCTGTGTTTTTCGGTGGCCAAAATCCTTGCGGGTCCCATGAACATACCATTCTTTCCGGGGTTCTTACCACTCACTTGTTTCCTCCAAAAATAAACCATGTCCCCAGGATAGTAGTCATATTTGGGTTTCGCCCTAGAGTTCATCCCTCGGTTGATTCTCTGTTCAGCCTGCCACTCCGCCAAAGCTTGTTCGGCTTGTTTGCGCAATTGGATCCCTTCAACACAATCTTCACCGGGGTTAGGAACCATCAACTCATGTCCCTTATGGTTTTCAGGGGTGACAAATCTCCCAGTTTCATCGGGGTCTCTTCCCAAAACATGTTGACAGGGGGAAAAACCTCTCACCATCTCTCTCTCATTAAAGGTCTTCACCGCAACCGTCAACAAATCTTCGGGGTCTTTTTCGGGGTCTCCCTCAGCCAACTTCGTCATAACCATTTTTAACCCCTTCACAGCTTGTTCACAAGTTCCCAATTTCCAGTGGGCCTCCCCCGGTATCACGTCCAGGTAAATTTCATGTTGGTCACACATGTGTTCTATTTCCCGGCTCCTGAAAGCCCCCGCAGGATCTAACCGCAACACATTTGGGGTACCGAAAAACTGAAACCAACCATCCCTCAGGTATTCAACAACTTGACCGGCATTCATGGTTTGGTGTTTCCCCTTTTTCATCACTTTGGCAGTTCGGTACCTAGATCCCTCATCAATGACAACCACAAACTCATAGTCCTCATGAGAAACGGGGTGATTCCACTTGGCCCCATCCGCACTTATGGTCATCAACTTTGGGGGTAAAGGTTCCAGTGAAGCTACATGTTTTGACCCAATCTTCTTCCCTTCGTGACACACTGAACACCTGAAATCCTTAGCAAGTTGGATGATGCGAGCACTGGCTCCACGTTTCTGTAGTGCCGTCACAAGGTTTCTGGTGTTTGAATGTCCTGTGGAAGCATGGAGAAGATACAGTTTCCGTTTGATCTCCTCTTCGTTTGTTTCGTTTTTCAACTGCTGAACCCCACATGCCATTTCTGTTTCGGCGTTTGTTTCCGTTTTGTCCTGGTCCATGTCTGTTCCATCAGTTTGCTGCCTAGGGGGCTGTTGTTCGCGTGGTGGGTCTTGTTGTGATTGCGCATCACATACTTTTTCCTCAGATGCATGGGGCACCACACAGGCACCGCATTTCATTTCAACAGCATGTTCACGCAAACTGTGACACACACAAGCGATTCCTTCCCCAAAGTTGCATGGCAGGCACGTACGGCCATCAATTTCCCTCAGGAGCTTCTCGTGTGTGAGCTCCTGCAAAATTGGTTTCACAGCGCGCTTCGCAAACTCAGGTGTGTAGTACGCGGTACTTCTAGCTATACCACCATCACATTTCGCGTGTTGATACCCCGGTGCACAATTGCATCTCTGGTTCATCGTGTCCGCAAGATGTGCATGTGTGGTCATAAGTTTCCAACCCTTGTGCAGAAAGGTTTCGGTTCTGGGGTCACGCAAGTTCACTCGGCAGCCATGTGTCACGGCAGTGTATGGCTGGTACTTTTTCATCAGTTTCTGCAACATGGGTAACCTCCAAGCCTGACACCTCTCCGCAAGTTCCCAGGTCACATGAATACCTTTTTGGCAACAGTACTGAAAAATGCAACTAGCACCCACATACTGTTTCAAGGCTCTTTTCCGTTTTCCAGCGAGCTCAGCGACTTGCTCCGGTGTTCGCTGGTTAATAGCTTGCATGGGTGAGTAGGGGCCACATTCCGGGGATAACCAAACATGCCCTGGGTCCAGTTGGTCAATGAGTTTGATGCAGTGTTTAACCCCTTCGCCCGTTTCAAGATCACAGCCATTCCAGTGTGAACATCGTACTGCAGCAGTCTCTCTACCTAAAACCTTTTGAACCTCTGAGCTGAGACGGCTCTCTGGTGAACAAGCCACTTCCAACAGGACAGTCTCTTTGTTGAGGAGTTCTTGAAAGGCTTTTGGTCCCAGATTCTGAGATTCTTGCTCGAAAAACCGAGCCATGGAGTCACTTATAGTGGTCACAGTTTTCTCGTTTGTTTCTGGTGACTCTTCTTCTACGCTACCAACTAAGCCTGCTGCCGATGCTACGTCACTCACTTGGGCTGGTTGCTCACCAGGCTGAAACTGGCCTCGCTCTTCACCTCGGTCTTCTTCCGGGGTCGCTCCTCGCGCAACTCTTGCAACTCTCCCTTCATCTCTTCCATGGTCGCCATCATCTTTGTCATCATGTGTTGGGCTTCGACCAGGGCTTGTGTTGAGCTGGTCGGTGCCTCGCTGGGCTCTGGCTCTGCCTTCACACAGGTCTCGGTCTCCCCTTTGGACTTGACATACTGCTTGGCCAGGTAGTGTGGCATTTTTACCTGGTCCTTGGGCTCCATGTTCAGCCACTTGACAAACCTGCCAAGTCGCAGGCTGTGTTGTCCTTCGCTGGCTGTGGTCTGCGCCCAGGTGCAGTAGCCCGCATGCTGACTCTTGACCTCGGCATAGGTCAGGCTGGCATGCTGTCCAAAACCCATCGGGTCCTGGCCATCTGGTTCTGTCAAGAGGTAGATCTTTTCCATGGCTTGCTTCTGGAGGACCGGGATCGTTTCCTGACCACTCAGAGTAAGGCCCAGATCCGACTGGCAAAACTCTTGGAGTGCTCTCTTTTTTCTTCATGGCCTGGTTGAGGCGCATCACCCATGTCATCAATTCCGTTTGGTGGTGGCGACTGCGGCGCAACTTGTCGATGCCCAGTTCTTCCTCCACCTCCATCAGTCTCACCTTCAGCTCTGGGTTCTTCCACTGGGCAGGAGGTTCCTCCCCTAGTTCTTTCAGAGCCTCTTGGAGCTGATGACGGTTCATGGCATGGACGGTCGGCATGGCTATCTAGTTGTTCCGCTCTCTGCAACCTGCTGTGAGTGTCTTCACGGCTGGTGGTGGTCACATGTCCATGTGTGTGAGTCCTGTGTTGTGAGAGTGCGCGCTGTGTTTGTTTGTCCATGTCCACACACACACCCACCATTACCAGCCTCAGCTTCTTCCCCCTTAAAAGTGGAAACTGGTTCAGTAACCCTGGCCTGAAAAATTTCCTCTCCCTCCCTTTCTCCGTCAGACCTCGGATAAGAGAGGAGTTGTCCCTAGCAAAAACTACTCAAACTGGGAACCGCGCTGTGACATTGCACAGAGTTGCTGTACAAGTTCTCAGTCAGCGGCAGAAGTTGGTGTCCAGATTGGGACCTCAGGGCCTTGATCACTCGGCGGTCGTCAAGCTTCCGAAAGACGATGAGGTCTGCCTCAAAGTCTATGATTGCGCCCAGTGACCTCAAAGTACTGATTGACAGCAACACAGGCCCCTGTCCTTCTTCCAAGGCATGTACCTGCAGGATGCCCTTCTGGTCTCCTGCCTGTATCTGAACTTTTGCAGTGCTCACGCATTGATTGCGGCTGGAGTTTCCAAAGCCGAAAGTCGGCTTCTGTTCTGGGTCAATCTCCAGAATGCGATCATCACTGTGTTTGCGGAAGTTCTCCGCGGCCACGGCTTCTAGGGCGTGGACGCTACCCAAAGTCTTTGTTGCTCCACCATCGATGATGCCATAGCCCTTCAGGACGGCCTCTTCGGTGGTCATGGCGTCCTGGTTCGTCACCATGGCGGCCTCATCTCGGGCATAGCAGACAAAAGGTGCTGACTCTGCCTTCTGTGCCTCCCCTGCTCTCGGTGCCTGTCGGTCTGGACAGTTGGCAATCTTGTGATTGCCTCCACACCTAAAGCATTTGATGGGCCCTGATTTGCTCTTGTACTTCTCAACCTCGGTCTTGTAGTATTGTCGGTTCATTTTCACCTGGTGTTGCTTTGCCCTTGCCTCTCTCAGCGTCCTCTGCGCCCTCTCGATCACTGCCATTGCCTCTTCTGCCTGTACTTCTGCATCAGCCATCATGGCCAATCCCTCTTCATTCATACCCTCCTCTTGGAGGCTCTGAATCGTCATTCCTTCTCCACCTATGGGTTCTCCATCTACCTCATCCTGCCAGTAGCTGGCCTGTTTCATTCCTTGGTCGTGGTCACGAAGTTCTTCTTCTGGCCATTGGGTGCGGAGTTCTTGGGCGATTCGTTCGCTTCCAAAGTCTCCCTGTACTGCCGTCTGGACCAGGTTCCTCTCGGAGCTGGTCAAGTTGGCATCCATCAGCAGGTACCAACCCTGCAGGAAATCTGGTAGAAGTTCTGGCGTCTCATGAAGCCATCTCTCGTTCTCCTGTGTGCCCCATGGTCCATAGTGGTCATTGTGCCACTGTCCTTGGTAGCTGCTGTGCCACTGGCTGGGTGCATCCCACTCTTCGGCGGCATCTTGGAAGTCCTCTGACTCCTCTTCCTCATTGTTTCGGCGCTGTGCCCATGGGTCCTCATTGTTCTCACTCTGGTCTCGCTGGCTCTGGCCGGTGTTTGACCAGTCATCTCGCCACGAGGTAGCGCTTCTCCTCGAAGGTTGCCACGTGGAACTCCTCCATGAAGCCTCGTCCCACCGGCTGCTGGCTCGTTGGTCTGGCAGCACTCGTGCAAGTGCTTGTCGGGCCCTCTGATACACTTCTGTCTTTCTCACTATGTACTGGTTCATCGATTCAAACTTCCTCCTCTTGCTCTGTTTGAAGTATCTATTCAGATACTCCGACAGCTCTGGTATCTGTGGCCTTCCAAGGCTCTTCCTCAGGTGCTGCATCAGGTATGTCACTCCTCCACTGAAGCTCAGCCAGTCCGGCCTCTTTCCAGTGACAAACTTCCTTGCCGTACCACTCATTTCCTGTATGAGCTTTGGCCCACACAGGTACCTCTTCCCATAGGCTATGGATTGCTCCCATTGGAGCGCTTGCTCTTCATATTCTTGAAAGCTCGCTGCTTCCCCACTCCATTGGGGAACTCCTTCTTTGTTTCGGCTGATGCCCTCCACCATCTCTCCACGGCTTTCTCAAAGGGTCGTAGACCGCTTTGAGCTCTTGGCTTTCTCAAAGGGTCGTAGACCGCTTTGAGCTCTTCTCTTTTCTCACACGAACCTTTCTAGGCTCCGCCTACCATCCACGTGGGTAGATGGTGGGGTAGTAGCACTAAGTTCCCAAGAAGTGGTCCTTTCAGTCCCTGCAGCGGCAGCCTCTCGATATGGCTAGGCAATATCACCCTGGGCTGGCTAAGCTGGCTTTTCCCTTCTGAACCACAGACTGAGCGTCGTGAGCACAAATGCGCGCACATCGACCTAAGTGTTCTTTAACACTTTCAACATGTATATATAGATAAAACCACATGCATGTATAGTTATTATACTATATTATAAACGATATATTCATATGCATATGTACATGTACATTTATGTACATGTACATGTATATGTATATGTAATATGTAATATGTAATATGTAATATGTAATATGTTATATGTAATATGTTTATATATATATATATACGATGTATATGTATATGCTGTATATGTATATGATGTATATGTAGTATATGTAGTATATGTAGTATATGATGTATCTGTAGTATATGTAGTATATGATGTATATGTAGTATATGATGTATATGTAGTATATGATGTATATGTATATGTATAAGTATATGTATATGTATATGTATATGTATATGTATATGTATATGTATATGTATATGTGTATATATATGTATATGTATATGTAATATGTAATATGTAATATGTAATATGCAATATGCAATATGCAATATGCAATATGCAATATGCAATATGTAATATGTAATATGTAATATGTAATATGTATATGTATATGTATATGTATGACGTGACAAAACACAGATCAACCGAACCATTTTTTTTTACCACTTACGGGGTATCATTAGCCACGGCCATGGATTGTCGGGTGTCTCTTCTTGATGCCTGGGAGGCGATAGAAGCCGAAACTGCCACCATAAATGTACCAGGGCAGTTCTTCAAAGCCATGCCACACTTTCCCATAGGATTTAGCATTTAATTCGATCTATAAACATGTGATAACATGTGTCTACGTACATTCGTTAAGGGTCAGCAAAAGTAAGAGATGTACAACACCAGGAACAGAATACATAGTCAGCCGAAAGGTTTGTATAACAGGGAGAAGGAATTTGGGAGAAACACATGGTACAGAATGGTACATTTTTTTTTTGGAGATATGCAGATAGGTCAAAACCATACCACATTTGGGCTGACGTTGAGGATGTTCCCACGCCTCATCGGACCTCCCAAGGCGGGGAATGGACAAATTCGAACCTGGATGGTTTGATCAGTTTGAATCAGTTCAATCTCAGTTCAATACTAATGACCATTTTTATGGACTATTTTTATGGACCATTTTTATGGACCATAAATGAACTGATGGCCTAAATGACTCTAAATGGTGACCAGACATGACATTTATCCAATGACTTGACCTCAGAAGCGCCGTGATAAGAAGACCATGGAGGTGAACTTCTACAGTATCTCGGCGGCTGGCTACCAAAGTACCAAAAAAGATGCCCTCTGGTAATGGAAAATGGTCATCTTATAGTTGATTTACCAATTTAAAATGACGATTTTTCATAGCGAACTGTTAGTTTACCAGAGGATATTCCATGGGGAGAAAATGGTGTGGGAATATAATTAGTGGGAAATTCCCATGGGGATATTCCGTGGGGATATAATCGGATAGTATTTGGACTCAGATGCGAGACCTCACGTCGCGGCGTTATTGGAATGATGGTTAGGACAAAGGGAATCATATGGCGTATGTCCCAACTGGTCGAATTTTTCAAGGCGAACGACCAATCACTCTCTGAATCGTCTTTCTTTTGCTTGACTTTTGGGTTTGGAACGACAAGAATATGACCCCACTTGTGGATATTCATTCGGTGGGTTAGTGCTCGGGTGGAATGGGGGAGATAGCCAGTGCCTCACCAAGGTATGGGCTATCCCCCCGGCGAGTGCGCCTCTGGGTTTTGATCAGTTCTGAAGCAACTGATTTTCATGAGACATATCTTCATCCCAGACCTAAGGTTTCAATGAGCTTCAATGTTTCTATAGCTTTCTAACAGGATTTTTTGTTGCTTGACATTGCCAACTGATTTTCGCCGCAGGGGCACCAAAAAGAAACGCATTGGCCCTCGGCTGATGAGCAGCGATCGCATCCACTACAAGCAGCTCAATCCCAAGGCCAGCTTGTCACTGCAAGGCCAGAAAGGCGAGATGTTTATGATTTTTATGGAAATTCGGAAAGACTTTTGGGATTGAAATCACAAGCAGCTTTTGAAGCTCAGGCTGTAGATTTTCTGGAAAAGGATGAAATGAGGTTTGGGACGCTCTTCTACAAGCATTTCAGAGGGTTCAAGGATTAGAAATGCTGGTTGCCAAGTCTTCTCTCGTCTGTGGAAGGGCGGTGTACCAACCTATGTTTTTACAGTCGTGCTGGCCCTCCTGATTTTGATTGTAGGGTCAGATTCATAGCAACTACGGGCGCAACTGGGGTTCTAATCGCAATGATCAGCAACTGGCGAAGCTATAGGTACAACATCATTATTGTAGATGTTTCAAGAGAATAGAAAATGGCATTCATTGGTCAGATCCAGTGGCCAAATATAGATAGGCAGTTGATCAGTTGGTAGTTCCATTGATCAAGCATGATCTCTAGGGATATACAAGATACCACTGGAGTTTCTGATATTTTTGCTTCTCCAGATGAACAGGATCACATTGCCAGTGGCTCATAGGATACTGAGGTCTCCAGTGTTTTGTCAGGTCCCTGGCTGCCATGCTTACAAGCTCTACGAGGGCTACAAGCGAGCCAGGTGGGGGTTGATTTGGCAGATGCGATACCTTACGGGGATGAGAGTTGGGTCAAGTGGGTACAAATTGACCCGCAGCAAAGCATCAGTCATTTTTGTCCAAGCAAACAGCAAAACATAACAAAACCATACAAAACCAACATCAAGGAAGGAGATTCGAGAAAAATAAAGCCTCAGGATTTATGTTGTCACACGAGTGTATGGATATGATATGGTTTATGACAAGTAGCAACCTGTGGAAATGGAAAAGTGACAAGCAGTATACCTCGACACTGGGGGATGCTTGCGATTTGATAGTCTTTTTCACAAGCGGAAAGCCGTTTTGTAGTATTGGGACATGCCTGTTACAACCAGGGTAGATTTTGGACATGCAGCTGCTTCCATTAGCGGCAACCAGTTGAAAGCGGAAAGCAGCTAGCAATTTCAAGCTTAGGTGATCTACTTCCCACAGTCTGAACATCCATACGTATCCAGTGTGTATTAAGATCTTGCATTCCATCTTCGGACACAGTAATTCTCAAGCAGCCGCTAGAATCATAGATATAGATATATCTCCTTTTTTCGCAGCTTCTAAACCCCCATCATCATCCCAATACTCGTGTAGGTGCATTAATCATCCAATCTATGGCCGCAGCACCGTTTTCAGGGACAATTTGCAGGAACGCTCTATATGGGGGTAACAAGTAACAACTGAGCTATCAAAAATGATCAGCAACCATCAACATCTTCCTGCAAACCGTCCCTTAAATCCATCCATTGATATTGTGCTTAGATGCGTCAGGACTTTGCGACAAGCTGTGGAGTGGGGTGCACGTCCAATTGACTTGGCTCATGATTACAACTGGCTGGGAGCCAAGGGAAGCGGTCATGGGACCTGGTACTATGATTCAAAACTGGATTCCATCATCATCCCACTATCCAATCATATCAGATGGTAGTTATATGATAGTATAGTTGTAAACATATACTTGTACAATGTGTGTATGTATATTCTGTGTATGTAATGTAATGTAATGCAATGTAATGTAATGTAATGCAATGTAATGTAATGTAATGTAATGTAATAATGTAATGGTATGTTACGGTATGTTACGGTATGTTACGGTATGTTACGGTATGTTACGGTATGTTACGGTATGCTACGGTGTGTTACGGTATGTTATGGTATATAATGGTATGTAATGGTATGTAGTGGTATGTATTGTATTGTATTGCATTGCGTTGTATTGTATGGTATGTATATGTATATATATATGTATATATATATGTATATATGTATATATATATATGTATATATGTATATATATATATACATACATATGATTACCCACAGGCCGGGTGTGTTTATCACGGGACCAACTCTTTAGGGTTTGTTTAGGGGTTGTTTGAATTTAGGTTTTCATTAAAAACACATAATGTATTTAGTATGGATTTTTTTAAAACCACGGTTTTAATAACATTTTACTTTCAAGGCTTACTTTGGGTTTCATGTCAGATTTATATAGGTTTTAGGATTTAGGGTTTTGTGTTTTGGAAACAAGTCTCGTCAGTCAAGTTGCCATCTGGCCGACTTCCCAAAATGCATAAAACACTGGCCCTGCGCAGTTAAAATCCATTTCGCCGGGCAGCACCACCCGTCCTGCCCGTATAATGATATATATATATATACTTATACATATACATATGCCGCTCAGGGGCTTCATGTCGGTGGTGAGTTTGTCATTGAACTTTCCCTACGAGGTGGGCACGGCATGATCTTCTTGGGACTGGTGAATGGTAGGTGAAAGGGTGAACATTTTGGCCAGACACATGGAATATATAGGAACATCATGTCCTTCAAGAAATTGACTCTGGGAACGTTAGCGACAGATTCTGATCATTGAATCATGGATGAAAACTGGGTCTTGAAGGAGGCTCCTTCATCACAAGCAGAGTGTCAGACCAACAGATCTCTGGAGTCAAACGACATAAATAGCTAGGGCTCAGAAGTACTTAACGTGCCAACAATCGGATGGTTTAAGATTTACTATATATATATATATAGACATGATTAAACATACGTAGCCAATTTAATGGGTCCATGGTTACCCCCTTTTCTATGTGCCATGACCAGTTCGCTCCAGCTACATCTCCCCGGCAAGGTGGAGATCAAGGAAGCGACAAAAGCGCAGAAGGCGGCAAGCCACCGGCTGAAGCCTGACATGTTCCCAATGTGATTGGATTGGTTTAAGGGAACATTTACAGGAAACCATAGATTTTCCTATCAAATATGGGGCTTTCCTGTATATAAATTTTCCCATCATCCAATTCTATGACAATGAAGGATGGCAAAAGGCATGCATAGCCTTTCGTACAAAACAGTACGAAACAATGTTTCTTTTTCCTAAACGACGGAGTTGCCGACTTTGATGATGGATGCTGCGTCTGACTGAGTGACTTGTTCTATTGTATATTCTTATCACCACCGCCACGACCGCCACCACCACCATCGCTGCCGCCACCACCACCAGCAGCACCAGCAGCGCAAGCACGATCATCAGCATCAGCACCACCAGCGTCAGCTTCATCAGCTTCATCAGCTTCATGAGCCTGATGAGCATCATGAGCTTCATGAGCTTCATGAGCCTCATGAGCATCATGAGCATCATGAGCATCATGAGCATCATGAGCTTCATGAGCTTCATGAGCCTCATGAGCATCATGAGCATCATGAGCATCATGAGCATCATGAGCATCATGCGCATCATGAGCCTCATGAGCATCATGAGCATCATGAGCCTCATGAGCCTCATGAGCATCATGAGCATCATGAACATCATGAGCATCATGAGCCTCATGAGCATCATGAGCATCATGAGCATCATGAGCATCATGCGCATGATGAGCCTCATGAGCATCATGAGCCTCATGAGCCTCATGAGCCTCATGAGCCTCATGAGCATCATGAGCATCATGAGCATCATGAGCATCATGAGCATCATGAGCCTCATAAGCATCATGCGCATCATGAGCCTCATGAGCATCATGAGCATCATGAACATCATGAGCATCATGAGCCTCATGAGCATCATGAGCATCATGAGCCTCATGAGCCTCATGAGCATCATGAGCATCATGAGCATCATGAGCATCATGAGCATCATGAGCATCATGAGCATCATGAGCATCATGAGCATCATGAGCATCATGAGCATCATGCGCATCATGAGCATCATGAGCACCATGAGCCTCATGAGCCTCATGAGCATCATGAGCATCATGAACATCATGAGCATCATGAGCCTCATGAGCATCATGAGCATCATGAGCATCATGAGCATCATGAGCATCATGAGCCTCATGAGCCTCATGAGCATCATGAGCCTCATGAGCCTCATGAGCATCATGAGCATCATGAACATCATGAGCATCATGAGCCTCATGAGCATCATGAGCATCATGAGCATCATGAGCATCATGCGCATGATGAGCCTCATGAGCATCATGAGCATCATGAGCATCGTGAGCATCATTAGCATCATGAGCCTCATGAGGCTTCATGAGCCTCATGAGCATCATGAGCATCATCAGCATCATGAGCATCATGAGCATCATCAGCATCATGATGATGATCATCATCATCCTGAAGTTCATCATCATCATCATCATCATCATCATCATCATCATCCTCGTCCTCGTCCTCGTCCTCGTCCTCGTCCTCGTCCTTGTCCTCGTTGTTACTCTCAGATTATTCCAATTGCGTTTGTATTTCTACCATTTTTTACCACATGTTGCCTTGGTGCAGCTTTGCGTTCGCACAAGGCCATCTTTGACTGGTCCAAGGGCTCTGAGAAGTTCGTCAAGGCCGCTAAACCTAAGGCAAAGAACTTTTCTGGGGACCCCAAAAAAGAGAGAAATTGGTCAACTCCTACTAGCTTTGGTAGTTTACCCATAGTTCTTTTATCTAATGATGATAACTGACATTGGTAAAATCCTACTTAAATCATGCTGACCATCTTTGAAGGGGTTGCCATATCTGATATAAGAGATGGAAACAAACGGGTTACCACCATGATCTGAGATATTTCAATATCAGAATGGGGAATAGATCAAATATCAAATTACATTTGACATATTATATTTTGGGGTAGATGAGCATCCCCATTTTTCTGTTCAGCAGGGTATGATATAACAAACGGAAACTAGGTATACAAGCTTATATTATTTTTTTCAACATGTTTTTTCAACATATTTTCTTATGCTGACCCATTTGGAGTCCCTGCTGCAAACATGCCTGCAGATTCCTATGATTTCGATTGAGGTGCGAATCAAGGAGATGAGCTTAGGACACCAAGGCCAGAATTGCCTTTGGGGGTTCGGTGAGAGAAAACCATAATAAGTGGTAGGTGTTTGGGATGTTTTGGATTGTTTTGGATTGCTTTGGATCTGGATCCCCTAATTTTTGATTCCAATTTCGGAGCCCGTAGTTTTGGAGCCCAGTATTTTGGAACTCCCAAAATTTCAGGCGTTGCTCTGCATTTCTATATTTTTTGACATTGTTTGATCCTTAACCCCTGATGTTCGGCTGTAGACCCTTTTGGCTCGGCCTGGCACAAGGAAAGCCACAATGGGAGACCTGAGCCGCCTAGATATGGACAAAGATACTCTTTTGAGCAGATGGCGGCCGCTCAGCAAGATGCAACCTTTGCAGACAGTGGGTAGAGTGGATTCGTGGATTAGATGCTTTTCGTAGATGCAGGAAGACCATGAAGTTTGAGGTGCAGTTATGCAGTTTGATAATACTTGATATCTTTTTAAATCATTCTGAACAATTTGACTGTATTTATGGCTATTTTCAGGCTGACCTCATGTTTTTGGTTCAAAGACTGCCCAGTTTGCCTTGAACAGCATGAAGGTGAACAGCCCAATGGCATGGTTCAAATCGGTGAATCCAATGGCTGATCCAATCCATGTGACCGCGGCTTCACCCTTGGCCGCCAGGCACTTGACCAGGTACCACATGCACGGCTCCAATAGTTCGGACGCAGGAGCCTTTCACCATGAAAAACTGAAGGCCTGTGGGTACAAAACCAAAGATACCAAAGTCTACAGTGGAAGGGATGATTAGGTCAAATGATGAATTCGTCAGTGGTTTGCTTTTAGATCTTTTAGTCTTTCCGTGTTTCCCAGGCCATTGATTCACACGATGAATCAGTGATGTCCCGCGCTGCCCCACTGGTCAAAGAATGGGCCAAAGGTCCCAGGATGTCGCAGGATGTCCCAGGATGTCCCAGGATGTCCCAGGATGTCCGATGGGAAGACCAGAGGACCATGGTGCTTTCCCTACGCCAAATCTGCGTGCCAGGTATTCATGTGGGCTGTGGATGTGGATATGTTGGGCTTTGAGGAATTTGTGGATCAATGTCGCCAGGAGAGCTTCCCAGGCGACTCTGGGACGGGCAAAACAACTCTTGGGGGATGACATGGGATGACCATTGATTTCATCCAAGATTCCAAGCTGGAACTGGCTTTTGAAAACTGGGTGACCCAGTGGTTTCATCAATTTCCACTTTCAAACTGGACAACTTTGAGGACGAAAAACACAGGGACTGGGACGAAGGGGATGGGAAGTCTGAGGATATGTGAGGTACTGGGGTTGCTACCCAATTTTCAGACAAACTCAAGTATCCTGATGTCGAAAAACCTCAATTGAGCTTCCGAAACATGATACTTGGCCCAAAGGAGATGAAACATCGGGATTGGAGACAGAACTTCCGCACAGTACAGTACTGTGGAATTCTAACCTAGCAAGGGACAATCCTCCACTAGCAAAGGTAATGACCGGAGGGTAGCTAGCACCCAGAATAACCAGCCGGCCGGAGCCGGCACCGACAGATCTCTGTGCAGACAAGATTCCAGAGACATGTACTGCCCCTGCACGAAAAAGACTTGGATCCGTATCTTCGGGCACCGACATTGACAAGATCAGAATCTTTGGCGAGATCAGAGCAGCTGATGTTGATATACAACCTGCTACTATGTAACGAGGTTAACCCAGCAACAATCCATTGCTGATTTTTTTCTTGTCACCAATTCCTGCTGAACATAGGTTTTGTGATGGATGTTTTGGATAGTTTTGGGGTTTAGGTTTACCATGGTTTACTCTCTTGAGATCTCTTGAGCCAACAGGTTTCCAAAAATATTTTGATCAACCAACCCTTTCCAAACAAGGTGGCCTATCCAACAAGAATCAAGTAGAATCATGGAATCTACAAGAAATTTATGGGATAGTCCATTGGTCCATGGAATTCACAGGCTCCAGTTTTTGAGTATTTTATCGTATTTTAGCTGGGAAATCCTGGGAAATCCCCATTGGTGGAGCATCCCACTGTCGGTCGATCTAGCTGCATCTGGTGAGGAAAGTGTGCAACCTTGGTGGTCCAGTTGTGATGCATCTCGAGGTGTTAAACTGGAGGTGCCGCGAAATGTAACCGGAGCACATAAGAAGAAGAATTTCACCAGAAATAGGTGGTCTAACCGAGTCTAACCCACCCAGGATTAGGATTGGAGGTTCATTATTGGGTTTATCGACATTGGAATGGAACTGGGAGTCGTGTGCAGTTTCTTGATGTTTCTTGCTGAAAATCCACCACTGGGAACCAGTACAAAGTAAGACACTGACCATTTTTTGCTTGACCCATGAGTCGAGTATGTGATTCCCAAAACATCTACAGGTTAAACATAGGAATCCCCATATAGATTTTGATATAGTTTGAATTAGTTTGACATATATTTTCATAGGTTTCCTGTAGATTTCCCCATCAACCAACCTTCATTTTTAATGCTTCACACAGCCCACCTGGCTGCCATTGGCTGCCAGGTGTCGTTGGTGCAAACCGTGACTCCTACACCATTTTCGCCGCGGCTGTGCACATGGTGTCCGCGGCATTTTTGTGGAAACTGAGGTAGTTCCTTCGCCTGGGAAGGCTTTGATTCTTCTTCAATGCCACCAAAATGGCAACAACAGCTGAAACCATATAGAATCACAGCAGATTGGTAAGGATTTCCAATCAATGCAGATTCCCATAACCCGCTGGCTCCTATATAAGTTCGTGAAGGGGACAGCACAGGGGGCGGCTGAACTGACCTGTCAGAACATTGTACCGGAGACTTTCGATGAATTTCTTGGCTATCTGGAGATCTTGAAGTGATCTGCGCAGTCTTAGTTTCTTGGTCCGAAATGACAGGCCTGTTTCCCTCAGAGTATGATGTTTTGACAGCTTCATCCAAAGTTTTGGACAGCAGGCGATGCCAACAGACAAAAAAGGCCACTTTTTGGCCGGCACCACCTATGCTTGGGGAAACATGGTAAAAGAGGAGGTCTGTTGTTTGTAAGTTGGTATATTAGCTCTGATTTCATGTTCATGTGCAATGTTTGATCGTTGTTTTGTTTGTGTGTGTGGCTTTCCGTGTTTCGTTCTGATGCTACAATTCATCTCTGCCCTGTAGTCTCCTTGTATTGCGCTCAAGTGTGGCGACATTGTCCTATTGAAAACAAATAAAATAGGCGCAGCACCAAAAGTCTGTCAACAACATTCCAGAGCAAACATGCCTTCAATTGCTGACACTTGATGCAACTTGAGGAAGAAAAACCATGCATCGCCTGATGACTGATCCAGAAGCAACCCAATGAAGGTCTATAGTCATATAGTCATAGTATGTCATAGTCATTTCACGAGTGAGCTACTTACAATTCTTTTCAGTCGTCTTCACAAAAAATGACGATCATTTTCTCATGTTTTCCATTGTTTTCCCATCAAGCAACAAAGAAGGATGGTGATTTTGAGAGGCATTGCCCCAGCCGCCAGTGATTTTCGCGTGCTTTGCCCTGTCCTGGGATGCTGCACTATTCGTAGCTCCAGAAAGAGCATCGAGCAAAGCATGGAGAATTTTGCTCATTTGTTTAATATTTTCCACACAGCGGAAGCAGCCATGGGCATTTGCAGTTGATGTAATTATATGTATGTGACCATTTGTCAAAAATAGTTGTTTAGAAGTTTAGTATTGGTTGTTGATAATTCATCTGGGTCTACTGTTTTTCCCTCTTCGTTATGAGGCGGCACGCAACTAAATTCAGCAATTCTGCAAGGCAGCGCTAGCAAAACCGCTAGGTTTGCGCTAGGTTTGATTGACAGCCATGGCCTCCATGTCGTGAATGTCTTGCCAGCTTTTCTTACAAGTCTGTCAGTTTCCACATATTCCCAAATTTTCGATTTTTTTACGTATTTTACGCGCTAGATCACCGCTAGCAACGCGCTAGCGAAAATTGCAAATACATGCCCCGGTCCACCCGCAGCCCATTCAGAGGCACAGCCATGTTCACGCTTTGGTAGCTTACAGTAAGGAAACAGCGTTGATCAGGAGGCATGTCAAGAAGCATATTGCATTCAGAGAGGCACACACACAGAGACACACAGTTCAGGAGATAGTACCAGCGACAGCGAATGAAAACCGACGTGCGTTAGCCGATTCCTGTGGTTTTAGAAAGATTTCCAAAGGTAACGAAGAATTTCCACGTTTTCACGTCATCAAGGTAGGTCATGTTTTTTTAAAGGCAAACATGAGGCGGCACGCATGGAATTGCGATTTATCAACAAAACCGGGAACAGATATTTTGACAAACCGTCATGTATGATATGTTTATAATACATATATATACATATAATACATATGTATATGCATTATGATATATGTATATATACACACCTTTTATATATATATATACTGTACTGTAATATGAAATACGTAATATTCAATATGTAATATGTGATACGTGATATGTAATATGTAATACGTAATATGTCTATGTATATGAGTCGGGTCCCCCCAGCATTCAAGATTTAAGAGCCACGACCTCGTCACTGGACCCTGTCTACCTGTATATATGTATATATATTTCTCTGACATATCTAGCACATACTACCCATAAGCTGTTCATATACCGCCTATAGCGTATCCCACACATGGCTTACTTCTCCTTCGCTACATATTTGATACCTATACACTACTCAAAGCGTATCTATGCATACCTATATGCTATATACCTGGATGTAGCATAGACCTAATAAATACCTCCACTAAGATTACGTACCTGTATGCAGTATATACAGTACATTGCCTCATCACTACCTTTTGACTCCGTACACCCTTTTAACATCTTTCAACGCCCCCAAACAAAAGGGGAATATCCACCTACACATGTTTCATAGCGTACCACAAACGCCTCATTGCATAGTGTGCCCATATGTTACGTATCTATATACTCCCTGTACACTCCCTAAATATTCTTGGGGGAACCCCTTGGGTGGGTGGGTGGATCCGTGTGCGTGTGTGATGATCCCTGCTCCTAAATGCACACACACATATATATATATATCATATGTTATAATATATATATAATATATATTATATATATATACACGTACATATTCATATACCTGTATAATGTATACATATATATATATATACATCCACATTATTATTATTTTAAAAGATAGTGTTGTTATTTTTGTTATTTTTACTGTCTTCATTTTTGCTATCATTATTCTTATTACTATTGTTAGTAATTTTGTTGTTATTATCATTATTGTTTTTGGTAATGTTGTTATTATATACCATACCAAATGTACAACATCAACTGAACACATATTGGATCATACAAATATATTATATCACATATATACATATATGTATATACATACACGTGTTTGTACATATTGCATGTTAATGTTGTTGTAGACAGACTATCTGATATATATATATACACGTATATATATATATAGATCACATATACACATGATTTTCTTTTGCATTTTTTCAAGGACTATATTTTAAGTCATACGAGATTGATCAGAATTTGCCAACATTCAGCCCTTTGGTCTGCTCCTGGCCACCTTTCTTCAGCGAAGATCGCTGTGCTGAAAGGCTCCCACAGCCGCAGCATGAGAGACCCTTGATACATTTTTGCGCAAAATAAGAAAACATAGTCAGACGGAGTCAGACGCCAGGATGTATTGCTATGTGTAGCCGGTCACAGGAGACTGTTTGGTCAAGATTTGGAGATTCGATTTTGGGCACAGTTAAATTGGCATCCAACCTGCACTGGGCGGAATCCATAGGAATACCGGGGGGCTAACGTTCCTCACATAACTTCATCTTTAGTCAGATTGGCCAGACTGGCACTTGTTGCCACTGTGGACCAATGGAACTGCTTCCAGAATTGCCTTTGTATCTGCTTTTATTGGATGGTTATTGAAAGACTAAATCCCTCTTAGTGAAGGATTCCTTGAATCTCTGATCGGTGGTTTCAGGCAACTTTCATCCTTATTGGAGATGGTAAGATGATGATGAAAGTTGGCAGAAGATTTTGGTGTTTGGATAGTGTATGGATATGTGTAATGATATTCCTATCCAATGACTATCAATACTAACGCTATTCAATCATATCTGGTTTGAGATGTGTGTGTGTGTGTGATTGTTTTTTTGCTCGTATAGTGGGGAAAATGAATGACAACAGCAACGTGCAATTTCTCGCATTTTTGTCCATCTAACCTGACTGCGAAATATCGGGGGCTTGCCAGGAGATGTGCTGGATATCTCTCCTTTGTGGCTTCAACCTATCCCAAAAATATGGGTTTGTCCGCAGGAATTATCCCCAGCCAGCTCAGCCAGCCATGTGGCCAGGTCTGGACGTAGAAAAAACCTCCTTACAGATGCTGGCAGAAGCTAGACCTTCACGGAAAACGAGCCAGTTGGAGAGTGGGATATCATGGGGATATGGCACATATATTTAGATGGTATAATAATCTAATTGCACCAGATATTTCAAAACTGAAAAGATTCTTGCTGAAAAAATGGTTTCCCGACACAAAGTGTACAAGGCTTTGACACAAAGGAAATGAAACAACAGGACTAGAGACATCGCAAGACGCGAGTGAAAGAATGAGAGTTGGGGTGAGACACTATGTTTGTGTGTGTATGTACGCGCACATGCCAGCATACAAACACAGACTACGTCAACCGGACTGACTTTTTGCATTAAAGTGAACGGAACTTTTTTTTCCCTAATATCCCCGATAATAGAACATAACAAATAATGGGTAGGAGGCATAGGGGTCTGGAGAAAAGTACCATTTAATTTCTCTTAGACTAATCCAATCTAGTCTAATCTAATATATTATAAGATGATAATGCATGATATAATACAATATAATACAATATAATACAATATAATACAATATAATACAATATAATACAATATAATACAATATAATACAATATAATACAATATAATACAATATAATACAATGTAATGTAATTTTATTTAAATGCATCTCAATTTAATGTAATTTAATATAATAGAAATGAACTATGATAGAATAAACACACAATATCATATACGATAATATAATATGAAATAATATGAAATAATATGATATAATATGATATAATATGATATGATATAATGTAAAAAATATAACACGATATGCTATAAGATAAGATGATCTGATATAAAAATAGTATAATCTAATCTAAATCAAATCTAACGACTGATGTGACCGATCTGCCACTTGGTAGCATGGTTTCACCGATGAATATCTGACCATGGACTTTGGAAACTTTTACCCGCACCTGTGCTACGCCCCACAGGGACGAACCACTATATACACTTTCATATGGTTTTTTCTTTTAAGGTCTCTTTAGGGTTTATTTGGGATTCTTTAGGAAATTTTAAGGGTTCACTTAGGGTTCTTTAGGATTAATTAAGGGTTTTTCCTAGGGGTTTTCTATTTTTTTTCAACGGTTTATGTGAAAAGTGGCGAAAACCAATATTGCAAGACAGCCGAATCCCCGCAGAGGGTCATCAAACACGTCTCTGGATTCGCAAACCAAGAGCCATCAAGTATAACATCCCAACATAGTGGAAGGCCACCATGTTCAGTAAGGGTCACCAAAAATGAGGGTTCCGACAATCGCCCCGAAAGAGTTTGGGGCATAGCACAAGTGCTGGCCGAATTTTTAGTTGTACCCAATTTTGATATCCACCGCTTCCTCTTGTCATCCAAGTCTCTTCGAGCTAATCACCCTCACTGGTCATCATCATCCTCATCCTCATCCTCATCCCGTC